CCCCGCCACCGACTGTCACAGTCGGGAGGGCAGCACCCAGCCGGCCCCTTCTCCCGCGCGCACGACCCGACAGGCGTCCCCTGAGAGGGGAACGAACCCTCTCAGGAACGGGGCCCACGGGCCCCCCCCGCCCGTCCTCTCCGGTTACCTGTAAATAATCCGCTCTGTTTAAAACCAGATCCATGACTTCTGCACAGAGAGGCTGGGCAATGCCTGACCAGACAGGGGGATAAAGGATGGAGATCCCTAAGGTTTGGGCCTGGACAGCTGGACCCACCGCGTCCACTCAGAAGGACCAGCACCGCCTCCACACCGGCCACAAGGGCTGGGCTTCAAGGCAGCTGCGCCCAGCGTGACGTCAGCACGCTCCGGCAAGGGCCGCGGCCCGGAGCAACGCTCCGCCCCTCCGCGACGGACCGCCCACTGACCGTTCCCTCCAATCAGAGGCGGCCCTCGGAGACTTGAAAAAGTGGTTTCCAGAGAGACCGGCGACGCGGTTTTGGCTCCTCTGGTAGTCTTACCCTTCTGTGCTGGGAGAGCCAAAGAGAGGCCCAGACGGATTCTGACCTATTTCTGATAACGTAAAAGGGTCCCGCAAAGATTTAGGCTCTTCCATTTATCCCTTTACAAAACCGAGGCTGGCCTGTATAGGCACTTTAATGAGACCTGTCTAAAAAAAGAAAAGAAAAAAGAATCGGCTGTAGCTCAGTGGTGGGCTGCTCTTGCATTCTGCATTCAATCCTCAGAACTGAAAACAAAAACAAAAAACAAAACGAACGAACGAAAGGAAGAAAAAAAAGACTGAGGACGCAAAGCACTTTTTTTTTCTAGAACAGAAGCTCAAAGCCTACAAACCGAAAGAGATGGAAATGCTAATTACTCTGATTGGATCAGTATACACTTATTATATATTGAAATGTCACACTATACCCCATAAATATGTCCAATTATTGTGTGCGCATTTAAAAAATTGAAGAAAAAAATCTAAATCTAAGGTAAGTTTCTACCTTAGGAAACTAGAAAAAGAAAAACAAATTCAATCTGAAGATTTTAAATGAATATGAGGTGAAGAAAAGAAAGAAAACAAAACAAAAATTTGACTATAGTCAACTTAAATGATCTCAGCCCCTGGAAACAACTCTAGAGTCTGAGAATCTCTGATGTGGCATGACCTTGTTTGACTAAACTGGTCTTGAAGACAGAAAAGTGATTTGTTCACAATTAATAAGACTTGCATTATTTTTAGACACTGTCTAAACAGTTTGCCTTGCTACTTAACAAAAGCAAATTTCATGTTTGAAATAAAAATATATTGAATGTGATTGGGTAAAATATTTATTGTACATAGAACTAAATTTCTTTTTAACAATCACAAAATATTTATGTCGTCTTCGGTTTTACTGTGTACAGAACTCGTTGAGGACACTGGATACCATTTTCATAGTTCACAAATTTTCAGTCTACAAAGCCAAACTTCTCAATAGAATTTCAAAAAGTCAAAGGTACTCATTGAACTTTAGACAGAAGGCCCTTAGAAAAATGATTTTTAAACTTTTTTTTTTTTTTTGACCAGGGATCGAACTCAGGACCTTGCGTTTGCAAGGCAGGTGCAGTGACACTGAGCTAAATCCTCGGCTCAGAAAATGACTTTTTAAATGGTATGTCTAAGAAGCAATATGTTCTTTCAAAATTTTATCTAGCCCATATAACTAAGAAAAGAACTAAGAACACTAAAGTAGAAAAGCAATGTCACAAAAAAGAAAAAAGAGAAAACTTATGGGGCTTAGTCCTCTGATTGTATGCACCTAAATGTCATTTTCTAGACAAGTTGTTTTGGGTCCTGTTAAAATGGTCTCTTTTTTGAGTCATCACAATGTCACCTTTGAGTTTTGCTTTTGATGTTTTTGTTTTTGTTTTTGGTTTTGAGACAGGGTCTCACTATGTAGTTGAGACTGACCTGGAACTCACTATGTAGCACAGGCTGGTCTCGAACTCACAGCGATCCTCCTGCCTCAGCCTCCCGAGTGTTGGGATTACAGGCGTGCACCACCACATCTGGCCTGAGTTTTGCTTTTGAATGTGCCTGTTACAACAGAGGAGGGCCTGGACCTGCTGACTCAGAGCTATCTTGAACCCTCAAAAGAACTATTACTTCTCACAACAGTCCCCTAACCTCACCCCTCTGCTACATTACTACCTTATGTCCTAGGAATAGAATCCCTAGAAGCAAACTCAGCAAGACTCGGTTGCAGTGAATTTCTCAGGAGAAAGGGAGGGAAACAAGACAAGGCTGAGGAAAAACTAAACAAAGATTCACTGTCAGCTTCAGTCTGTCTTCAGCCTCACCCCCTCAGGGTCTTTTCTAGAGAAGTAATTGCTAGGGGTCTACCCACCTTGTTTCAAGGGGCCAGTTTTAAACTACCTTCAGTCATGAGCCCTGGGAAACTGGAGGCTTGCTGTCCAGGGCAAGGCTGAGGGCAGTGCTCTGCAGAAGGGATGGAGGACCTGCTCCTGAGTGTGGAAGATGGGTGCAGGCCCGGCACAGGGCATCACTGCTGTCAGTAGCAACCACTGTACCTTCTCACCATGTCTCAACTAGCACCTGAAAACTGTGATGAAGTGGAAAGTGAAATATTAATGTTCTACCAGTAAAAAAGGAAAAAACAAAACCAGGTGTATGTACATACATAGTGTGAATGCCCCGATTTTTATCTTCATAGCTCTCTGATCTTCATAGTCAAAGGATTCCAGGCCGAATGTGGGGCACAACTCTAATTCCCACTACTGGGGAGGCTGAGGCTAGAAGATTCCAAGTTTGAGACGAGCCTGGGTAATTTAAAGAGACCTCCTTGTTCCAAAAGGGCTGGGAATGTAGCTCAGGAATGTCCTGGGTTTGATCCAGAGAGAGAGAGAGAGAGAGAGAGAGAGAGAGAAAAGGAGAGAAAACAAAAGGATAGAGAAAGCAAGAGAGAGGGAGGACAGGACAGGAAAACTAATGCAACCCTGTGAGCTCTGCTCACAATTTACAGGAACAGCCTGAAGAGACTCAGGATGCTAAACATAACTCTATTGGGAGAAAGTCACAAGGCGCCATACACATGAGCAGTACTCTTTTCAGCTATGTGATATGCCCAATACAGATGCATCACAATCTATTTGTGTGGAAAGGAATGAAATCTTTTCATAAGAAAACAAAGATGTGACTCATGAAGAGCGATGATAGCAAGAGCCGTGTCCACGGGTGTGGAGCACTCTCAAGGAGGTCTGGCCTTGTCCTTCCAGACACTCATGGCTCATTCCAAACTCAGAATGGAGCAAAGGGATAAGACGGGAAGTCAGCAGCAGAATAGAAGGTTGTAACAAAACAACGGCGCTGCATAACCCCTGACTTTAAGAAGAACTTGGCACCCCGTTGATTAAATTCACTTACTGAAAAACAATAAATGAAAAGCTGCAAGAAAAGAAACGAGAATATATTGTATAAAAATCTTTTAATGTGTTGTTTTGAACAATTTTAGAAACTTAAATATATAATGTAATTATATTTTCTATTAAGCCATTTCATTGTTAAATCCTTTACTCAGGGCTCCATGGTTCTAGGAATATCAGTAATGCCTAAGGCTCTAAGAAATTCTTACCAAGTCATAATGGTTGTAAAATTTCTTCAGTTTCTATTAAAAAAAAATCTCTTCAGCACTTGGACAAGGGAAGATATGCTACATAGTGATGATCTTTTATTTTTATTTGTATTTTATGGCAGTCAATTCAGTTGGCTAAAACATTTATTGAGCACCTACTATGTATCAGGCACTGTACTAGATGCTGGGAGACACAAAGATGGATAGGACATGGTCCCTGTCCCCAAGGACTTGACAGTCTCTTGGAGGCAAACAAGTAGTGCAAAGACATAGAGTATACTCTAAAGGGGAGAAAAATATTGATAATGTAGTAATATTGGGCCTTTAAATACAAAGGTAATGTCATTGTTTATAATATCAAGGCAGACAATTAAAATGCAGTTTCATGTGGTAAAACAGTAAAATCATTGAGACCTAACTAGTAAAGATTCACATGATAAAAGTACTTAATGCTAAAAATGTACACCATAGTTTTTCAAGTATTTCATACTTAGAAATATTATTGCCCACACTTGTGCTATGTTTGAAGTCAGAATTCCAGGAGTCTATGTCATTCACATCTCAACAGGCTGGGATTCAATTTCTCACTTAGTTTATGAATTAGAATGGCTAATTCCTCGGTTGCTTGGCTCTTGTCTTCCAAAAGCTCATAACGAAGGCTGGAGATATCCTGCTTGATTTCTTTTAATTCACCTATAGTATTTGTATTTTAAAAAAAAAATATATATATAATTGGTAAGTTGCTCTTGGGTTTAGAAAAGGACAAAGTGAAATTTATATAATATGAATACATTTATATCTATAAAGTCTTCAAGATAGCTATTTCAGTTTTTCCTTTAAAATGTTTTTTTTCTCTCATTGAGTTTATTAGTAGGTACATTTTAGGTATACAGTACAGTTACATTCATCATTGGGATCTTGTACCTTCACATGACAGGTCTTGGTTCTCATTTTTTCCCCATACCCCTTCCTTCCCTTCACCCCCCCTCCTTTCCCTGCTTACAAATACTTTATTTCCATTTTCTCATATTTTTTCTTTTCCCTTATTTCCTTTCCCCACCCTTCCCACTTACCCTACACCTTTAGCCCTTTCTTCCTATTTCACATTGTTAATTATATCATTAGGATCTTATGTACTATTACAGCTTTTCACACCAGAGAAACTATTCAATATTTACACGTGTGACTTATTTATTTCACTTAGGAATATATCCTCAATATGTATCCATATTCCTATGAGTGAATCTAATTTCTCATTCTTTATGGCTGAGTAATATTCCATTTTATAGAAAAACCACATCTTCTTTATCCAGTCTCCAACTGATGGGCAAATGGGCTGTTTCCAAGTTTTAGCTATTATAAACCATGCCGCTATAAACTTAGGTGCACATATATCACTGTGATATGATTCTTTTAATTTTTTTGGAAAGATACCCAGCAAAGAGATGGCTGGGTCAAAAGGAACCTCTAATCCCAGCTCTTTGAGGTATCTCCAAGGAAAATATTTCTTTTAAAATATACTGTCACACATGAACCTGGGGTGTGCATGCTTGTGTGTGTGTGTGGGGGGGTGTATACATTGGCCTTCCAACAATGCTATAAAAATAACCCACCTATATTTGAAGGAGTAAAATGCACCTTATCATTTTTGCTAGGAATCAAACCTACAGCCTCTTGCATGCTAGGCAAGAGCTCTACCACTTAGCTGTATAGCTTAGCTTCCTCAGCTCAGGGCCTCTGTTAACAGACACATAGCACTATCAGTACAGGATACAGATTGCCCTCAGATGCAGGCTCCACACCTACTTCAGACGTGTCCCACTGCTGCCATCAAAGGGAATCCTAGCAAAACTGAGCTTTATGAATCAATTTACTTAACAGGCAAACCCTCAGAACAAGTAAATTTTAAATCACTTTTGAAGGAAGGGAAAATAAATAGGGAGGTTCATTAGGAAGTCAAGGGTGATGAATATGGAATCAGCAAACAGATTGTCTGGCACAAGGAGTCAGTGCCTAGTAAGGGAACAGGCAACAGTGAAATTCAACTCTGATATGATTACCAGCCGTGTGGTGTAGATTCAATTTTCCTGAAAGATCTTTGAGACTATTTCCTGGTATCCTTTTTAATGATTATTTTTTATTTTAGTTGACACAGAATTATATGTATCAACAGGATACAGAGTAACATTTCAACCTAATAAAGTTTTTTTTTGTACCTGGGATCAAACTCACAACCTTGAGCTTGGGAGGCAGGTGGCAGAACCTGAGCTAAATCCCTGGCCCTCAACCTAATAAAGTTTCAAAAAAATTTTATTGTTTTTCAGTTTAATTTTATGTTTTTTATGGTTTTTTGAGACAGGGTTTCACTTTATAGTTCAGGAGAGTTTTGATATTAAAATACAACTGCTCCTATAATTCAGCCTCGCAATATTTTGAGCACATGGAGGTTGCAATTAAAAACTGGATTGTCATACACCAATCACTGTAATGTTGATAAGCCACTGACCCTAAGAAGTAAATTTGGGGGGAGGATTTTACTTTGAATCTAATAGATAATTCTGAAAATCATTGGTACTTTGCCTTACATTGTTTTTTGTTTCCTTCAGTACTGGGGATTGAACCCATAACCGTCACTGAGCCACATCTTCAGCTCCCTCACTCCTTTTTTTTAAATTTTGAAACAGGATCTCAGTAAGTTGCAAAGGTGCGCAGGTTGGGCTGGAACTGGGGTGTGAACCAACCTATGCGCAGCTTGACTTAGCTTTTTATAAACTGCATGTAAAACAAATTTTTGAGGCTCTTTCTTGGTATCTTTTTTAATGATATATTTTTATTTTTAGTTAACAGAATTATATGTATCAACAGGATACAGAGTGGCATTTCAACCTAGTATCTTTGAAGTTTTTTTTATTTTATTGTCTTTAAATTTTATTTTATGGTTTTTTGTTGTTGTTGCTTTTGTTTTTTATGTTTTTTTTTTTTTTTTTGAGGCAGGGTCTCACTTTGTAGTTCAGGCTGGACTTGAACTCACTATGTAGTCCAGGTTGGCCTCTAACTCGCCTCAACCTCCCAAGTGCTGGGATTACAGGCATACACCACCACACCTGGCTAAGGTGTTTTAAAATATAATTTATTTGTTCTTTTATTATGTAATAGATAAGCTGTGAAGATCTTATCATTTTAAGAAATTCTAACTCATCCGAAGAATACACATAAAATGTTTGTGGATTCTTTTTGTGGCCAAAAATAGCTTCCTTTGGCATGTAGCAAAATAGAATAAAATGATCTAATCTGAAGCTATGAATCCAGTATTCCCACCCCCTCTTTTCTGATGCTAGGGATTGAACCCAGGGCCCTTCAAATGCTAAGCAAGTGCTAGCAAGTGTTCCACCAACTGAGCTTTATCTGCAGCACGAATCATTTTCTTAATACCATTGGGTATCCCAGTAGAAACCTTTCATTTCCCTCTAGCCTTCCTTGTTTCTGAGTCATGTGGAGATGACACATTAGTTTGTAGTCTGCCAATACAGAAATCACTAATTCAAAACCTTTTTGGACTCAACCATTTCAGATTTTAGTTTTCTCATTTACTAAATGAATTATCTTGTCTACTATGCTGTATATATTGTATGATCAGCTTTCTTATGAAGAACTTTGTTCAAAACTCAATTCTCATTAATTTTCCTCTTGTGAGAAGGCTAGAAAAATGCTGCTTATTTTGGGCAGTATGGCTGGTGTCTTCTTCCCACTCACATTAGTTTAGTTCCTTTTTTTTTTCTTTTTTTTACATTACTTTAGTTCTGAATTCCAAGGAAGGTTATTGTACAACTGATGAGGTTTCTACTTTCTAAGGTACATTCCCTTCCAATTCCATCTTCCTGAGATGATTTCTAGCCCACAACAATTGGTTCTCAATCACACATTCATAGGTTTCTTTTGTACATTCATATAGCATTGGATTGACTCTGATTTATAAGGGATTCTTTGTATTAATCAGGTAATAACTTTAAAACTCATCAACAATTTTACCAAGGTTGGGTCTTTTTTATTAATGCAGATCAATCTAGAGGCATCAATAGATATAATCTCCGTTTTTAGTGCAAAACTTCTGCCAGGTTTATTTCTTTCCAACTGTCCTGTGCTTTGGTTCTATTCTTCAGTGTTTAATAAAAAAAAATTTTTTTTGAGACAGGGTCTCACTATGTGGTTGAGACTGACCTGGAACTCATTAACTATGTAGCCCAGGCTGTAATAAAAAATTTTTATATTTCAGACAGATGCTCTGCCTAAAATATATATGCATTGAAAAATATACCCACATATATAGAAGCCAAGGGGGAAAAGTGAAATTCAAAAGAGAAACATCAGACAAGAAAAATGGACTTGAGATTTAGTTCTGGACAACAAAAGAGAGCTTTGTGGAATTCTGTTTGAGTCAAATGTTCTTCCTACAACACTGAAAAAAATGTTAAAACTAATGTAAACTCATGAAAATCAGAAGTGATATTACTACCTTATCTAAGAATCACTTAAAAGGCCTTGAAATATGATAGTCTTTACATTTTAAGGATCAGAGTATTCTGAATAGAGAAAAACTGCATCTGATTAACATTTTTAATAATAGCTTACTTAAAAATGGAGTTTTAGAAAAGTAGAATGAGTCTCATGTCAGTCTTGAAGGAACCTGAACTGAAACCTGAGATTGGATTTTTAAAGTATGTTTCCATGTGATGTTTTCCATGCTTATTAAATTGACTCAGAAAAGGATGCTTCTCAATTGGAAACACTTACCTTCATTAACTTCATCATTTTCTTTGTCTACTTGTGCTTTCAAAACATATCGCTTTATAAGTCTTTTCATTATCTGCTGTTGGGCAAAAAAGAAATGAATATATCACCAATGATACACATAATTGACCTAGATTGTATTCTCCAAAGAGAACATGCCTGTAAACAAACAACTTGGTGGAGAAAAATTGTATAAGTATTCACAGAACAATTAGCCAGGTTTCAGAATTTGATTGCTTTTACCTTCTACTGGAATTTACTACATAATCCATAAACACTTTTTGCTTCAGCAATGAAAGAAACTTTTTAAAAAAGTTAAGTTGGAAGATTTCAATTCATATTCTCTTTCAACTAATGGTTTAACTTTAAGGTGCACTGATGTTACATTATTACTTTTAGGCACTACTTAATTTCCCACCATATATAAAATATATATGAATAAATAATATGAATATGTATTCATAGGCACATGAATATAGGTTCAATAAAAGGATTTGGAAAATAGAGAGAATGACAAAAGAAATAAAGAAAATAATAACCCCACAATCTAAAGTTAATTACTGTTGTTATTTTACCATATGCCAAACTTTTTTCTTCAACTTGTGTGTGTACAAATTATAAGGATTCTATTTCTTGAATATCATATATTGTATTTCATGCACTATTCTCATAGAAATATGTATTGGAGCTATTTTTGTAATCTAAGTAAGTGCTCTAAGAGGAAAATTATTTATTCATATAGAATAATTATTTATTCATATAGAAAAAAACTAAACTGGAGTCCTACCTTCTAACATGAATACAAAAATTAATTCCAGTTGATTTTAAATGTGAAAACATTTGTGAATCCTTTAAAAGAAAGTATATTTACTTCATAGTTGAATTTTAAAAACCAAGATGAAACATTCTAATAGAAAATTTTGATAAATTCAACTTCATTATAATTTAAAACTTCTGTTGATAAAGATATCATAAAAAAGTGGAAAGGCAAGTCACAAACTAGAAGAAAATAATGATGATACTTTGATTAATAATTTGGATAAAAATATAAAGAACTTTAAGGAAAACTTAACCAAACTTTAAAGAATGCTCAAAAGATAAACAGGTGTTTGACAGAAATGGAGCATGAATGGTCAACAAAGGTGTAAAACAATTTCAAACTCTTTTCTTGGGGAAAACACAATTTATGACTAAAAAGAGATACAATTTTACACCTAATAAAGGGAATAACAAATCTGATAATAGCAAGAGGTGGAGAAGATACAGACCAATGGGAACTTTTATAGTTGGCTGGCATCAGTATAACTAGACAATCTATTTGGACAGCAACTTGGCATTATCTTTGAGCCTTGGTATAGTCTTTCATGCAGAAAGTTTGCTCTCTGGTAAATGCCTGGAGAACATGTGCATGTGAGTTAAGGGACGTAACAATGTTTACAACAATTCTGTCCTAAGTATGAAACACTGGAAACAATTCAAACAAATAGCAACAGAACAGACAAATCATGGTATGTTATACAATATAATACCATTGTATTCCCACACACAAGTATGGGTGAATCTTAGAAGCATAAAGTTGATGAAAAATTCCAGTTGCAGATGACTTCACAAAGCAAGAAACTATTCTTATAAAGCTCAATAACAAATAAACATATATATATATATATATGTATATATACATACATATTTTTACACTATAAAATACAAAATAAATAAGTATTTTTAGGAATGTCAATATATATAATTAACTTATATTTAAAAAGAAAACCAGGGCCAGGGATTTAGCTCAGTGGTGCTGCTGCCTGCCTTGCAAGCACAAGCACAAGATCCTGAGTTTGATCCTGGTACAAAAAAAAGAAAAATAAAAAACAGAGCAGGAGGATTAGAAACTCAGATTTCAGGAGAGTGATTACCTTTTTGTTGTAGGCAGAGGGATGGAATAGAAGCAATGAACACATAATGTTACCTCTGTCAAGTTTCATAGGTGTGCACAGAATAATGCCTCATAATTTCGTATGTGTTACAGATATTCTCGTGCATGTATCAAATATCACATTTAAAAGAAAAAAGATGTCTGAACTAAAGTGCAGACATAATGAAAATGGAAAACAGATCCCAACTTTAAGGAAGTAGCAATTATGAACCCAAGAGAACCATTAGAACTAAGGTGAAATAAAGTGGAGGAAACTAGTATGATTCTAGCATGAATCTAGGAAATGTCTGTTTCAGAAAATAACAACAGATAAAAAGAGCCCATGCTAGTGAGAAGGAAAAGCCTACTTCCCTGTCACAGTAAAATATAAAACTTGTTGAACCATGGTGGAATGTGACATATTGGGAGATTGGGTAGATCTTAAATTCATATGTTCATTTAGCACATATTTATTGATAAGCCAATTCCATGCCAAGTACTGTACTACATTTCATGAATTAACACTGAACACAGTCCCTAGTGCTGTAAAACTTCATATCTATACAGAACAATTCATTATGGATGTGTCAGGGATCTAATTAAGTCGAGACACCAAGTAAAGCAGATTCTTCCAGAAAGAAAATACCATGTCAGGTGTATCAGTTAAAAGCAGCTTGAAAGTAACAAAATCAATAGAAAAGACTACTCATCAAGTAGTGCTGACACAACAGATTATCCACACTGCAGAGTTAAAATTAGATTTCTGCTTCACACTGTATATAGATGAAGGAGGAGGTGGTTAAAGAGAAGGGGAAGAAAAGAAGGGAAAGGGAAGGGAAGGGGGAAGTAAAAGGACAAAGAGGAAGAAGAGGTGAGAAGAGGAGAAAGAAGAAAAAGAAGCAAAATGGATTAAAGATCTAAATGAGTACTGCAAAATTGCTAAAGAAAAAGGAAAATATTCTTGAAAATATAAAGGACAAGCCATGAAGAAAAATAAAAGACAAATCTGAATGTATTCAGACAACTGTAAAATTTTATATAATAAGGGATACTGGTAGTCTGACATCAAATGTCATTTTCCCTGTCATCCTGGAGTTAATAAGTTTTAAACTCATGAAAAAGTATGGTAATTACTAGTAGTTGGGGCCAGTCAGCTCCACCCAGGGTTTATTAAGAATTATACCTACTTCCTCTTTTCAGAGAGAGGTTATTCTGTTCCTTCTCTGTGTGAAAGGGAGGAAGTGCTCCCTCTCCCTCCAGAACGAAGGGATGGGGAATCCAAACAACTGCTTATGAAGATCAGGCTTGCCTATCAGAAAGGGACCCTGGCATTCTGTTTCCAATGTAATTTCTACTCCAGAAGCCTTTCTGGCCTACTTTGGCATTTAAGTCAGAGAGAGAAAAAGAGTGGAGAGATAAAGGAGGAACAGCCAGAGAGTTAACCTATACTCCCCTTATCCAATAAGCAGGTAATTGCACCAGATTGAATGGAAGGAAGTTATAGAAATTAATGAGTAGAGCCAGACTTGGCATCCCACACCTGTAATCCTTGCTCTTGGGGAGACTGAGGAAGGAGGATGAGTCAAACCTGGGTAATTTACAGTTTAGGGAAATGACAGAAACTTAGGGAGATCCTGTGTGAGAATGGAGGAATGGAAGGCAGATAGGCGGGCAGGAAGTGTGTCAGAAGACGGAGCTCTGTCAAGAGACCCTGGATTCAATCTCCAGTCCTGGGAGAAAAAAAAAAATCTGTGAGTGAGACAGCATGTTCACTAAGTGGGGTTGGGAAAGGGCTATGCTCAGGAAAACATCTAAACACAGACCACACCTCACCACAGAGCCCCATCTCCACACCTCATACCTGGAGTTTCCAGCTGCCTAATGACCTGCCCTCTTAGGGAAGAAACCAGATGTTGACAAACAATGTCATAAACATTTCAGTTGGTAAAGAAAGAGAATAATTCAGGACATTAAATGACCTTGTTTAGGACCATTTACAAAGGTTTTATTTAAAAACCCCATTTCAGTTTCTCCCGCCCAGAGCCGCCATCACTCCAGCGCCAGGAAGGTAGCTGCGCAGGTGCCCCTGAACCCCCATAATTCCCCTTACCCCCACCCCACGTGCACTCTCAGACCTCCTGATTGTGCCAGTCTTTGGACCCACTCTGCAGAGGCAGAGGTAGTCATAAGGGTATTTTTCTGAGTTCCCAACTTCAAACATCTTTAGAGAAAGGGCATGGGAAACCTGAAGTAGAACGGTGTGGAATTCAACCGTTGAGAAGGTTGGGGAACTCAGTCTGGGCCTTGCAGCCTGAGGTCAGTCTACATCATGGGGTTCAGCCATCATTTTACTGAGATCAGGGGTCTTGAGTCCTAGCTCTGTCTGAGCCATTAAATGGTAAATATACTATATTGAAAAGTTTGTTCACTGCAGACATGTTCTGGACTGCTTCTTGATTTCAATTTAATTCAAATGGTTTAAGGGTGATAGACTAGTGACTACCATACGTGGTCAGTTTACAAGTTGTGCTTGATCATAATGTGTTGCTGATTGTATCAGTAGGGATAAAGGATTGTGGTTGATTTTGATGAGCTGTTTTCTCTGATGTTATGAAGATGAGAATGTCTGTGGGTAGTTAGAGACCCAGAAGCTCGGGTGCAACTGTAACAGTAAAATTGGGTGATAACCCAGAGATTAAACCAAGGACAGCCCAACAACAAAAGTAAAAATGAGAAAACACTTAAGAAAGACACAAAGACAGACTTCCAGTTCACCAATGGCAAGCAGTAGGACAAATGAGAATGAAAAGGCCAATAGTGAACCACCAGGACACCCTGAACTCAAAGCACAGGAAGTAACAAAACAAATCAATCAGGCTCTAGAAAAATTCAAAACAGAAATAATTTCCCAGATAACCATAGAGATGGTGAGCAAAATGGAAGTCATGATTCAAGACTCTAGAGCAGAAACTGACAAAAAAATAGATGAGCTCAGGACCATGATAGAAGCCATGAAGGCCCAGCATAAGAAAGAAATGGAAAAATAAACACCCAACATAGGAAAGAAATGGAATCCATAAAACAGATTCAAACAGATATTCAGGAGATTAAACACTCCATTGAAAGTGTACACAACCAAATAAAACAATGTGAACATAGAATCTCAG